GCAAGTGAGGACCCTCATTAGTGAATCTGCGTGACTTTTTATACATAAGTAACTTCCTTTCTGAAATAGCCCCTTCCTCTGCTCCCCCTAATCTAGAAGCAGTCCATTCTGTTGTATTTTAACCAACGCTGTATTGTTTTCCACCAATATCTGTTTATCGCCAGGAGACACCAGCAAACTTCCCTTTCTTTTAACTTTGTCTCTTCAGGTCCTAAGAGTCATCAAACAATAATAACAAGTCTCTAAGGGGGTGCCTTGCTGGCTCAGTGGGTAGAATGTGACTCTTGATCCCAGGGTCGTGCGTTCAAACCCCACACTGGGTGTAGAGATTACTTAAAAGTAACAAGCGTCCCTTGTCTCCTGGGAGAAAGCATAGTTCTTATTCATTCATCTGGCAAACAATTTCTGAGCTTCAACTGTACAGCAATCTTTTGCTTGTTTTTTGAGAGGCATCAGATAATAATCCCATTTTTCCCCATTTCTGATGAAAGCTTCTTTGGTCCTCTGTCTCTCTCCCTACAATTGTTTCTTCCCCAAGGCATCACCTAGCCTAGCCTTTTATGTGCACTATTACATGATAGGTGTTTAAAGCAGGGCAGGACAAAATATATTTGATACAAAACAAAACAAAACATGTTTCTCCTCTTAAGTCCGCCAGAGAGCTAATTATAGTTTATGATTCTAAAAGGCAGCTTTAAATTCACTAGTGTTGGCAGTTCGTGGAGCTTGCAATTCAATAAACGGTTTGTGGTTTGTGTCACGGAAAATACAAAAGGAAAACATCGATAGGCACATCATCTATTTTCAAACAAATTAATAAATCGTCAATGTAATTGTTCAAAGAAAAGCTTCTCTTACACTAGAGGGCTTAAAGGAGCTTCACAGAAACCTTACTGATGTCTTTCTTCTTTATATTATTTATTATTATATTATTTTTAGTCTTCTTCTTGACACCAAAGGAGAAAACCTTGCCAACAATGAATCTTACAAAGGTGGTACCAGAGATCACCCTTGGCCACCAATACATTTAATTCTGGACTTTGAGATTTAAATCCTCCTTTCTTTTTCTGTGACATGTAAAAAATATTTTTGAGGTATCCAAAGAAACACAATCATTATAAAAAAAAAATTAGGAAATATCCATTGGTAACATTTTTGTTATACATGCTTCCAGACTTTTTCTGTCTGTGACTATATATATAATATATGCTTTACATGGGTATGAATTACTATATTGTCTTTTGGTCTTTTTTAAAAAGATTTTATTTATTCATTTTTGAGAGAGTGAGCAGGGAGCCTGCCTTGTTGCAGAGCTCAATCCCAGGACCCCAAGATCATGACCTGAGCTGAAGGCAGACTCTTAAGCAACTGAGCCACTCAGGCACCCCTACTATATTGTTTGTTTTTAGAAAATCAGAATTATACATACTCTTTGGTATGCTTTCTTGGCCATTTGATGGAATATTGTTCATTTGACCCTACCTTTAAATAAAAGCAAAGAAAATTGCAGGATTTCCCTTATACCTTTCTTTTAGTAAAAAATCACCTTTACCATTACAAAGTTCATTTTTTAAACAAATAGACTTCTGTCCCATTGTGCTGCTAAAGCTTTACTTCTTTTTTTTTTTTTTAAAGACCTTATTTATTTGAGAGAGAGAAAGAGAGAGCATGAGCAGAGGGGAGGGGCAGAGAGAGAGGGAGCAGACTCCCCACTGAGCAGGAAGCCTGATGCGGGGCTCGATGGCGGGGCTTGATGGCGGGGCTCGATCCCAGGTCTCTGAGATCAGGACCTGAGCCGAAGGCAGATGCTTAACTAACTGAGCCACCCAGGCGCCCCAAAGCTTTACTTCTTAATGCATCATTATTAATATGGCTCAAGAACGGCTATATTACATAGAAATGTAATGCAACATTTTTAAACTCTAAGATGTAGAGCACACTGCAGAATGATCTGGATCTGTTCTGGGGCATTTAAGGTGTAATGAGGAACAAGAAAACCATGCAGAATATCTCACCGCAACGGAGAGTCAGGAAATGCAAACAAAATGATGGGATTCTGAATGGGGCAGCATTCCGGGCCACAGCCGGGGAGATTTCATGCAAGGGGTGAATCTGAGGTGGGTTTTATAGAATGGATGAAGTTCAGCAGAGGGAGTCCTGCGAGAGGGAGAGGGGGAGAAGAGAGGAAACTGATCAGAGAGAAAACACCAGCAAAGACATGTGGAGGCAGAAGAATATGAAGCCTAATTTTCCTGCCTGTGCATTGATAGCCTTAGAATGCTCATACTTTTGGGCCTAATAATCCCATTACTGGGTACGATGAGTATAGATGTGGCCAAAAATATATATGCAAGGGTCTGCATCATATTGTTCCTCTTAGTCATGAGAATTGGAGAAAACCCTAAATGTTCAATAGTTTATACAAAATCTGTAATGGTATATAATTTCCAATTTTTCTACCCTGCGCTATATTAGTCTTTCTTTTAATTAATCTGAGGTAGGCTTTACAGGATGGATGAAGTTCAGGGAATGGAGTAGTCCAGCTGGTCTGGAGCACAGATTGTATTTAAGGAAGTTCTGGGAAGGAAGACAGGAATTGTAGCATGGAGAGCTTCCAGTGGAGGCCACGACATGGTCACTGGTTGAATAAAGTGAAGAAGTCTACAAGGACACCTAGGGAGCTGTGTCAGTAGGGGGCCAGGGTGCTTTGGATGCTTAGGGGGAGACACTTCAGTACTGTTTTAGGTCCCCTGAGTTGGAGATGTCATCTGGACATCAAGAGGGGCTTCCCAGTGCTCAGTTGTGGAGCCCAGAAGAGCAAGCAGGGCTACTCACTCATTTGTTCACTCATGCATTCGCTCACTCATTCAATAAACATTGCTTACGCATTTGCTGTATGTCAAGGGCTGTGCGGGGGGGTCCCACGGATGCAAAAAGAAGGGGCCTTCCATTTTAGTGGGAGTGTGTGGTGGAACACTGGGAGCAGAGGAGGTGACCAAAGGGAGGGAGGGTGGGAGGGGAAAGCTTCAGGCTAAGAACAGAACTGGAGCACCTCCTTGTCCCTCTCAAGGACTTGGCAGGGAGCGAGACAGACTGGGATCTCAGCATGTCAGGTGATGGGGGAGGGATGCAGCTGGGACATGGTGGGCTGGGGCTGGGGCTGGGGTTTTGGGCCTCGGCTGTCGGAAGGAACCTTCAGGGAGGATGCACCCTGCCGTGCAATAGACAGTGTCCAAAGGGGCAAAGGAGCCTTGGGCCCAGTTCCAGAGGCAGCTGTATCCAAGGGGAGCTGGGGTGAGGGGGGCATTAGAAGCCACAGGAGGTCCAGGTGACCTTCAAAGTCAGGTGGGAGCCTGCTTATTCGTGTAATACATTGTGTTGGTTACCACAGAAATAAAACACCACTGGAGAAAGTTTGGAAAACAGAAACAATCCTACAGAATTAAGACAATAGCTATTACTATTTTTGTGCATTTCCTTCCGTAGTATAGAGTTTTCACCGTTCTAATGTCAAGGACACACATTCTTTACATCTTGCATTTTTCACTTGAAATGACAGCACACGCGTTTTCTGGGTCGCTACATAGTCTTCATAATTACTTAAATAAAATTCCATCAAGTAGTACAATAATTTATCCCACTAGTCCCTCACCTTTGGCATTTATTTTAAAAAAATGGATAATAAAGATAAGACTGTAATTAAAATCATTCATGTGTATACATATTCTAGATTATCTTCTTAGGCTGGATTCCCAGAAGTTATGTTAGTAGGTCAAAGAGTAGGAGCAGGATTTTCATGGTTCTTGTCATTTTGTCGTTTGTGCTTGCCTCCAGATGGCTGGTTCTCAACCTTCAGATCACCGAAGACACTCCTTTTTCCCCAAATTCTTTCCTTTCCTAAATTGGGAAGTCCAGGGCTCAGTAAAGGTCATTGTAACCAACCTCCCAGAATTTTCCAAGCCAGTGATCTCTCGTGTAGCCTTTGGCTGTTAAAATCCCTGGTCAGAAGGGTCAGGAGCCCCAGTGCTGATGCAGAAGTTGAGGCACTCAGGTTGCCATGTTGTGCAAACACCACTTAACAACTTAATGATAAGTGACTTGTGAGCACTTCTTCCCTACTCCTTCATTCCCCCCCGCCCCACCCCGCAACATGCTTCCTTGCATTGAAATGAGGCTAAAGATGACTGATGGAAGAATGTTTGCCCTTCCTCTGGGCTGGGGCTGTGCCCTTCTTCGTGAGGCTCAGCTCAAAAGCCTCCTGTTCTTCCATCCCACGGTGCACACCTCAGGGTATTGGCTCTACTTCAAAGGCAGAAGAAGTGAAGTGAGTGAAGAAAACACAGATAAAGGCAAAGGATGATAAGGTGGCCATAAATCTCAAAAGTAAGTTTTCTAGCATTATCAATTATCACTCCGTTTCAAATATGCATATGGAGTGAATATTCCAGTTTTCAGTGTGTGTGTGTGTGTGTGTGTGTGTCTAAAGGCCTTTTAAAGAGTTGTGCAATCCTTTATACCCCAACGTGCTGTGTTTGGCATTAAAAAGCTGTCAGGGCCGACTTGTAACTTGGAAGGGGTAAGAGTGGAGGTTCAGGCAAGTATGGGCTAGTTTACTTGTGGGACAGCGCAGTGTGACTCCCACCGGGGACCCGCCCCCAGAGAGAGCCCTGCTCCTCGGAGCCCAAATTCCAGCCAGCAGTCTCGCAAATGCCCAGTGTGAGACTCAGAGAGTCTCCGAAAGAAAGGGAAACTGGCTGTATAAAATCTTACTAGTGCTTCCAGCAAAGCCACCCATCCCTTGGCCGTCAAGAACGCCACGTTCGTTGTGTGAGCCTATGGAAATGAGTAACCTGAAAGCTTCTATGAGTATCTGTAGGCTACGCTGTGTTACACTCCCACCAGTGCTCTCGGCATTTGAGCAGGAAAATCAAGGACGGGAGAGATGGACGCATGCGTTTGCTTTCTTGCTGACCTGTGGGCTGTATTGCTTGTTCCTGCAGATATAAGCAAAGGCGAGTCCTGCAAGGAGAACTGTACTTGTCCCGCCTGCTCGCTCCGGGCCCCGACCATAAGTGACTTACTCAATGATCAGGACTTGCTTGACGTCATCAGGATAAAGCTGGATCCATGTCACCCGACAGTAAAAAACTGGAGGAATTTTGCCAGCAAATGGGGCATGCCCTATGATGAACTGTGTTTCTTGGAGCAGAGGCCTCAGAGCCCCACCTTGGAGTTCTTGCTACGGAACAGCCAGAGACCAGTGGGCCAACTGATGGAGTTGTGCAGATTCTACCACAGGGCTGACGTGGAGAAGGTCCTGCACAGGTGGGTGGACGAGGAGTGGCCCAAGAGGGGGCGTGGAGACCACCCCAGGAACTTCTAGACCTCCGCTTCTTCGTACTGGCCTCTTTGGACCTTGAACCAGCCACAGGACCTTGAAACAACCACAGGTTGAGGATCTGTCCTTTTTTTTTTTTAAGAGTTTAGGCTAAGGACACGGAACCGTGGACATTGGTTTTCCCCAAAGCTGGTGGTTTTTTTGGAGGGGTAGGTTATGTTTTGGTGGCGGATTTTTGTTTAGTTTTGCACCTCGGTTTTAATTTAATATTTGAACCTGGAAGCGGGAAAGATACTTTGTAGACTCCTCTTGGGGCCTGGGCCAAAGTCTACAATCGGAGTGGATTCATGCCATGATGAAAATAAAATTATCCTCTCCCTTCAATGCTGTGGAAGATTAAAATAAGAACTAGGATTGTTGATGGCCCCAGTCGATCGTCATCCATGGGATCCTTCATGATGGACAGCACTCCCACAGCTGACAAGAAAACAGCACAGAGAAGTTACCTTTTTTGGTCGTAAAGTGCTTAGGTGAAGTAGCAGGATATTGGTGTTGTGGGGCCGTACCTTCACACCATATGTGCCGTCTCTTTTATGCAAATACTTTGGTAATCTGTGCACTATCAAAAATGTCATTTGCTCAAGCATTTTTGGAAGAAATGCAAAATTGGTGGTGGGAAGAGAGAGTCAGGAATGGGGGGAAATAAGGACCTTGGGCATGGTGTTTGACAAAGAGAGCACACAAAATGACCTTTGTTACCCAAGACTTTTTTTAAAAAATCAGTTTAATGTTTACTTTCACATCTTTTATATAAGGCTGAGTGTTTCACCCCTGAGATCAAGCTCAGTTAAGAAATAAATAAAAATCACCTGGCCCATGGTTGCAACATAACCACTCTCCTAGCACCTACTATCTCAAGCGGAAACAGGGCCACTTGTAACAAGCACTACATAGCGGTTTAGCCAAGAACCGGGAATCGGTATTAAAATCCAAACTTCCAAGGATTTTAAACCAAATGCAAAATTGGGTCCAAACAATATCTGGTGTTCTTATTTGATGGCTTAAGGGGAGGTAAAGTGTGGAGGACGGGAGGGTTTGTTACTGGAGAGATCCGATATTCTCGATTTTTTACACGGTAACAGATACAAGGCAAAGCCTTGGCTTGCTTGACAATTTCATAAAAGCGCTATTTGGTTTTGGCTGTGGGTTCAATTAAGGCACTTCTTTCGGTTTGGTGGGATTCTGTCTACGTCCCTGATTAAAATAAGCAAAAATGATGAAGAGCATTGATTGGAGTACAGAAAAGATTAGGATTAACGCAAAAGAAAATTATTTTCTCAACCACTAACATAGTTTTCCACGAACAGTTTTAGCGGGTTTTATTAGGTTGCTAATATATACAGTCAGCTTCGCTATCAAATGTAAACTCTAGCAAAATCTATGGAGATTTACTCATCACTTCTCCTTCGGGGTTCATCACACCCAGCTCATCTTCCCCTTGTCTGATTTATCAGATAAATGTCAGGTTTATCACAGGATGTACTTAAAGGAGCAGCCTGTAATAAAATGTGGAGATTTTTAAAAATAGGTTTTTCAGCAGTTGATGTCCAATGAGGGGGTTGTTAAATGATTATTGTCAGCCATGCTCCAGGCACCATACAGAACTCATTAAAGGGGCTCTGATCTTCTAGGAATTTGATTTTTATGTTCCATGTTCTCATTAAGCTACACGCGACACGCCCCCCCCCATATGTTAGCCCAAAATGTGCTGGGGAAAAATATAGAGGAGCTTTCGGTATTTGTTATTGACAACGCTAGGGAAAAGGGTTGTGATTATTCAGTGCGGCGTGGTACGGACCCCCAGCAGGGGATGCTGTCACCTTGTGTCCCACCACCCTTGGGATACAAGGAGGGGATCCCAGCCTGACCAATGTCCTGCTGACCGCTGCCTGGCCAGTGCCACAGAAAGTCCCTCCCCTCTCCGTGCTGCTGGGGAACTCCATCTTTGCACAGTACCCTCCTAACCATCTCCATCCTGGCAGACTCGTCACCCCAGCTCAGCACCAGGCTGCAGAGGCTCTGACCAGGTAGAAGCAGTGGGGAGAGCCCAGAGGGAGGGAGACGGGAGGGAAAAGCCCTTTGGCTCCCTTTCCTCAGCTGGCTCCTTCCTCCTCCCCGCCTCTAGGCCTACCCCTGCCCCCCAGACAGAGACCCAAAACAACGGGTGATCCCTGCAGCCCCACGCCCAGCCATCATTCCCATGGTGGGGAGGGCGGGGAGGTCTCCCTTATTTCCAGAGACTTCCTCTGCCTCCAGCTCACAGAGAACAGAGGTGCAATGGGAAGAAAGAGCAACCCAAGGGAGGAGAGGATTGGAATAATACCACCCCACTACCCTGCCCTCCCTCCCCTCCCCTGTTGCCTCACCAACTTCCCTGGTGCCCCCCCCCTGCTTCCCAGCTCACTGTTCCAAGCCACTGAGGGCAGGTCACAGACCCCCCTCAGTGGCTTGGAACAGTAGTCGGGGGCGGGGCAGGGGGGCGCTTCTAAATTTCCATCCAGTAGGGCCACAGCTGCAAATTTTAAAAAATGTTTAAGGTCCTAATATCCCAGACGTTAAATCTGGGAAATACTGTGAAAAATTTTCCCACGGAAACACGGTTATACGTGGGGATTAGGTTCTTTTGAACTGTCAGTTCTAGATTTCACAAATTCCTGAATTAAACGTTTTTTGTAAGCTGGTTTGGGAACACGGGTCCCTGTAGGCACTGCTTCTGTGGGACAGATTTCCAAACTCAAACTTTCGATCTCAAAACAGACTTTTTAAAAAAAATTTTTATTATATTAGTCACCATACATCACATCATTAGTTTTTGATGTAGTGTTCCGTGATTCATTGTTTGTGCATAACACCCAGTGCTCCACGCAGAACGCGCCCTCTTTAATACCCATCACCGGGCTAACCCAGCCCCCCACCCCCCTCCCCTCTAGAACCCGCAGTTTGTTTCTTAGAGTCCTGAGTCTCTCATGGTTCGTCTTCAAAATGGACTTTCAATGGAACTTATCATCATATGTATCTTGAACATGGTTATTGTTCCTAAGTGTCTGCTGAACTGACCTTTGAGGTGGATCAAAAACGTGAAGACAGAATTCAGGGGATTCGGGTACGGGTGGAGCGGAGTGGGCTCCTTTACCGCCAAATTCAGGAATCCAGGAAAAGCGCATGACCACAGAGTCCCACCCCTCATCTCCCCATTTGGCATCATTGCTTCCAAAGTCCTCATTGCTAATAATTTCCTATCCTGGCTATGAAAGCTTAAAATTCCCATTTATAATTGTGTGGGGGAAGTGCCAGGGTAGGCGGGGTTTTTTTAAATGGGGGAGCTGACATGACCATACTGTTTGAATTTGATTCTACCATTATTTGCACCTACTGACATCTCTTATCAGTTAGCATTTACCTCATGAAAAGTTTCAATTATTAGAAGTATATTAGCAGAGAGATATTTAGCCAAAAGTTTTTTTAAATACAAGTTCATTTGGACTCTAGATTAAATGTAGGGTGACTTTTGTCTCTGTTACATTCAGGCATATCAAAGAGTAATCCTCAACGGAAATAGAACCAGAACACAATTGCATAATAACCCAAAATACTTTTTAAGTTGATTTTCAGCAAATAAATACTGTAACAGCGGGGCGCCTGGGTGGCTCAGTCGGTTAAGTGTTGGACTCTTGATTTCACTCTTGATTTCGACTCAGTTCATGATCTCCTGGGTCGTGGGATCAAGCCCCGTGGGGCTCCAAGCTCAGCAGGAGTCTGCTTGAAGATTCTTTCCCTCTGCCCCTCCCCCGAGTCGTTCTCTTTCTTTCTCTACAATAAATAAATCTTTAGCACAAATACCGTAACAGCATAAATATGCTGAGACTTCACAAAAGTGGGAGTGGAAAGGAAGGAAATCACTTAATGATTAATTGATGAAATAACTGTTAAAATGTAAGTTCATTAATACGTAGGAGTTTTTCTCATTATGTGTTCCTAGGGATCTTGGTTAAATTGACCATGCTGTGAATGAAACAGCTTATGATGAGGTCCTTTTGCTATTAGAAAGATGAAATCACTTCAGCTCCATTCCAGGATATAGTCTTTCAAATAACACTCGCATACTGCAGTGTTACACAGTGACGCTTTATGTTATGAACCCAATGTATTTGCTTGCAAATATGAGAAAGGGGAAGAAAGCTGCAATAAACACCACACACACGCAAGACACACACTGAGGAAGACTCGCCAGAGAGACTCAAACAAGCCATGCTTTCCTTCACTTGTAAGGTTTAAAATGGTTAGGGCTTCAGTTGTTTGCCAGGATTGCCCACTGATATTTCTAGATACCCCGTGTGGACAAGGCACCCATTTTGGTGGCACCAAACAACAATCATTCAACAACATAGAAAATTTGCCGTAATAGACAAAAGGTGGTACAGGTCAGGTTCTCCTTGAGAGTAATTTTTATGTGGTACTGCCCTCTGCTGGAGCATAAAATCAGCACACACGTCCTTTCTGGTTTGGCTGCCGTCCTAAGACCAGCCCAGAGCCAACCTTGTATTCATTATAGGTGGTGTTGTAGAACCCTTACATGTAGCCCCGATAAAAGACGGGAAGAGCCCAGTTATTTTTCCAAATTGAGAAGCAGAACGAGGCCAGCATAACTGAGATGAGGGTCCAGGAGCCCCTTCATCCAGGTCAGTTGCGTGACCAGTCTGCTCTACGGATAGCTCCATGCTCTGGGAATTAAGTCAGTAAGACGTTCCCTCCATGTAGTTCGAGAGTTAGCTATTTGTGGATGTTTGGTGTTTCTCCCTTTTGACTTAGTGACGCTCTTTCATATTCAGGGAAGTGGCCGTGAACAACAGTGTAAAAGGCAAAGGGATTGCTCTGCCTGAGTTACAGCAGACGCCAACCACGAGCACTAGCTTTCTTCTTCCTCTATAAGTTATAGTATAAAAATATGCTCTTTTAAATACGACATTCACAACTAAAGCCTAGCAGATTTTCTTTCCCTTTCTTTTCTATCTATTTAAGATTTTATTTATTTA